AGCAGAGAAGGGAAGGGCGAGGGGGCATAGGACAGGAGGACTAGTGTAGAGGCGTGAAGCGGACGACTGGGTGGAGGGGCCCAGGGAGGGGTGGCATTGTTGTGACCTGCTCCTTGTGCCATGACAGGTGGTGTACGAGGAGTGTCGCATGGTGAACCTGAAGGCCCCCTATGTGTCAGGATTCCTGGCCTTCCGAGAAGTGCCCTTCCTGGCAGAGGCCGTGCAGCGGCTGCAAGAGAAGGAGCCCAGCTTAATGCCCCAGGCCAGTGCCCCAGCCTGTGGATGTGGTGGGAGACCACAGGAGGCAGGGGATGGGGGCAGTGCCCCTGACAGCTCTCTCTGGGCTCTTCCAGGTTCTTCTTGTGGATGGAAACGGGGTGCTCCACCAGCGAGGTAACCCTGCCCCCCAAAGAGAGGACCAGGGAGGGAGGACTGGGAATTGAGAGGGCAGGTCAGGACCCTTGCAAGCCTGGCAGAGGCCCAGGATGGGGAGGAGGCCTGTAAGAGAGGCAGAGGTTTAATGGAAGGGACTAGAAAATGTAGAAAATGCACTGAAAGTGGGGTGCAGTGTCTCGGCCAGCTTCAGGGTGCACAGTAGGACTTATCACTTGAGGGCAGCTCAGAGATTCTCAAGTGCTTCACTCCCCTCCCATACCCTCTCTGCCCATACAGGCTTCGGGGTGGCCTGCCACCTGGGCATCCTCACAGACTTGCCCTGCGTCGGGGTGGCCAAGAAGCTCCTGCAGGTGGATGGGCTGGAGAAGAGTGACCAGCACAAGGAGAAGGTCAGGGGCATTGGGTGGGGTGCTGTGCCAGTCGCGAGGGAAAGAACCCAGAGAGCGTCACCTCTGGAGCACCCCACAGCCCACCATGCCTGCTGGCTCTCCTCTCTGCCCTTGAGGCCCTGGTCTAGAGAAGGAAGCCCGATTCTCCGAGGCACCCTGCGGTGGTGCTCCTGCTCAGAAGTGCTGGAGTGCTAGACCCGGAGCAGCCATCGCCTCCAGTTCTTGGGGCTCTTCCCACGCAGGCGGGGAGCCTCCTGTTCTTGGGACCCCACCTACATGAACCTGAGGCATTTGGAAGCCTGTGCCCGGTTCTCCTTCATTTTTCTCCTCTGGCCACACTGGGGGGCACTCAGACCCCTCCAGGCCGTGCTGCTAGCCCCTTCCCCTGATGGCCACCAGTCCTCTTACCCCAAACTGCCGGCTAAGGGCAAGGAGCCAGCTTTCCTCCTGTCCTGGCTCTCCACAGCCTGCTCCAGGCAGCTGCTCAGTAAACGTTTGTCAGTTGAACCCTAACCAACCAAACCAGTTGCCATGGAAACAGCTCCGGGTGCCCCACATGTCCCGGGTCTTTCTCCCAGAGCACTTCCCGCAGGGCAGGAGCTACGAACAAGCTGAATGGAGTGTGCCCACTCTCTGAGCCTTCAGGAAAGGCCTGAGAGGCTGTGGCCAGATGTTGGTTGTAGCCCACGGGCCTAGGGCATCACCTGTGGAGTCACTGGGAGCCACCGTCCCCTGCTGCACCTCAGTTTCCTCATCTTCGAAATGAGTGGAGCTGAGCTCAGAGGAGCTCTGGGGTGGGCAGGGCTTGCCGGGGCCTGCCAGTCTCACGAAGACCCTGCCCTTTTCCCTACCCACTGCCTTCTCCAGCTTTTGAAGCTCAGACTGCCTTACTCACAAATGTGCGTGTGCACACACACACGCGCGCACACCCACACTGTCCCCAGGAAAAAGCCCTTCTCACGATGTGCTCACTTTCCAGGTTCGATGCCTACGCGCTGCAGGAGCCACATTTCCCCTGGTAGGGGACTCGGGGACCATCCTCGGAATGGTGAGTGGCCCAGGGCTCATGCCTACCAAGACAGGCCCCCCACTGGGGGGCCAGGGTGCTGTCTTGGTCCCAAGTCAGTGAAGCAACTGACCAGTGTGAGAACCACATGGAGGTCTGAGGGGGCACTAGCCAATGGGGTACTGAGGGCTCCTTCATCTGCATGTGTACGCACACTCACACACCTGAATGCCAACACACAACATAGCCTGAGATGGGAGGCAAGTGCTCTTCTTCATCGACGTGGGCAACGGGAGGGAACCCAGTCCTGCAAGATGGGGGTGCTGGGAGTCCTCCAGGCTCACGCTTGCCACCCAGGACCTATTGCCAGACCTGGTGGCTGTGCCTCTGGTCCCCACCTTGAGGCCACCCCAGCCTGCGAGTGGGGCTGCAGTGCCTTGACCCCAGAGGTCTGACCTCACCCCCTTTGGCCCAGGCCCTGAAGAGCCACGACCGCAGCATCAACCCCCTGTATGTCTCTGTGGGCCACAAGATAAGCCTGGAGACCGCCGTGCACCTGACCCACGCCTGCTGTAGGTTCCGCATCCCAGAGCCCGTGCGCCAGGTGGGCAGCCAGGCTGGGCGGGTGGGCACTCCTTAGGCTCTCCCGAAGTCCTGTGTGCGCATTCCCACTGCAGGCAGGCATCTGCGCATGCTGTGGCAAGAGGGCTCTGGTTAGCTCCCGTGTTCAGAGACTGGGGCAGGGCCCTCCATCCTCAGCCAGGAACACAAATCATAAAGTTCCAGTGCCAAGCCCAGCTCAGCCCAGCATAGGAGCAGGGCTGCGCCAGTGGCTCAGAGCTGTGATGGGTGAGGCAGCCCAACCGAGGGTGTGGGGAGCCCAGCTAAGCACAGGATCCTAGTACCTGGGCTCACACCATGGTCCCAAGGGAGGCCTGCAGAGAAAGAAGCAGAGGTCCCTGGTCCAAAGGCCTGGGGCAGGAAGGTATTTTCCAGGGCCCCGGAGGGAAGGTGCAAGAATGGGGCAGGGAAGTGCATGCTGGAGGGGCCAGGATTTAAGATTGGCCACCAGTGCTTGGAGCAGAACCACCGTGTGGGGGCCAGCAGTCCTGTGCTGACTGGGCTACGAGTCCCATGCTCTCTGTCTGCACAGACCGACATCCACTTGGCCCCTCACTGGCCAGCTCTGAGATCACCTTGTCCAGGGATGGAAAGGCAAAACTGGATGGAGACATTTCCCTGTGCTTGCCCTTCCATCTCCTGTGGCCTTAATGACAGCCCTGGGCTCTTCCTAGCCTGCAGTCTGGCTGCTGGTACGCAATCTGGCCACCAGGGGGCAACAGCAGCCTGCAAACCCTGGCCCCCACTGAAGAGGCCTAATTGGTACTGGCAACTCCATCTAGAGGGGCCCAGCCTGGCCAGCCACCCCACCACCCGCCGCCACTCTCTGTTCCTACCCTGGGCTGTGCCCAGCTCTCACATATGCTGTCCTACTTGACAGCTGGTGACATGTGTCCTCACTCCCCTGAGACCTAAGCTTCCAGCCCAGCCCAAGAAGCCCCAAAGCTCTTGTCCCTGCCCCATGTGCCCTCTTGTCGATGTGCTGGGCACAGCAGGCAGGAAGTGCCCTGTATACCCCCTGAGCACCTGAAAGGAGTAAGGACCCCATATCCTGCCTCAGAGAAGGGTTGGCCAGATGTCGTACCACCATGAAACCAGTCTGGTGTGGTGCACTCCCCGGACCCAGGGCAGGCTAACAGTTTATGTTCTCAACCCATTTCCCCCTGGGCCCACTCCCCTCCCCTCCCCTCCCCTCTGTGCAGGTTGCCAGCCTGACTGCTCCCAGGAGAAGGAGAGCCACACCCACACCCTGTGGTACTCCGAAGCCCCTCCTTCCCAGGCCAGCCCCCCTCTGCCAGGCCAGGTGGCTGCAAGGAATTGGGGGAGGCTGCCTCACCTGGTGGGTGGGCACCCAGGTCATCTGCTTCTAACCCCCTCCTCCCCTTCCCAGCTGACACCTTGTTGCCATAAGCAGAAGCAGCTGGGGATTAGCTGCTGCAGCCTGTTAGCCACCGGCTCCCTCCACCCCACCCCTACCCCCATTGGCCTAAACCCTCTGAGCCTAATCTGGAACTCCTGAGGGCAGGCTGGGGGTCGGGAGCCCTGCCCTGGCCTCACTCACTGCCCACTCTTGAGTGGTTAGCCCCTCCCCTAGAGCCCACAGCTCTTTCACTCTGGACATTTCAAGGGACTTTCTGGAAATGCTTTCCTGGGGACAAGAGTCGTGGTTGATGCTAGCTGAGGCCTGAGGAGACCCTAAGCTGAGGCCTGAGGAAGCGAAATGGGCCCAAAGGCCCCAGAAGGCCAAGCAGGGGGAGGTAGCACAGGCCCCACCCTCCCCTCCCCTGAGTGTTGTGTGTGGAGGCAGCAGCGTGTCTGTCGGGTCAGCATGGTGGCGGGAAGGGCTGTTCAAAGGGAGCTTGAGAGTCCAGGCCCTCGCACCTTCCTCACTGCCACCATGGCCCCCACAGGCTGACATCCGCTCCCGAGAGTACATTCGCAGGAACCAAGGGCTCCCAGGAGCCCCTGCCCTGGGGCAGGAGAGGTGAGTGTCTAGGAGGGCTCTGGAGAGACCTTGGGGTGGGGAGGGGAGCTGAGCAGCAGTGTGGACTGTCTTGAAATCCCGAGAGCCTCAGGCTTCAGGCCCACCTTCCAGTCACCTTGGGCCCAGTCACCCATGAGGCTCTAGGGCAGGGACAGCATAGGCTGGCCGGGCCCCTGTGTACATGTCATTCACACTGCTCAGGCCTTGGTTTGCTGCTCTCCACAGTGGGCATCACAACTGTCCCACAGGATCCGCGTGAGGCAGGACTCCTGCACCCGCTGTTGTGAGCTCACACACACTGGTTACTTAACCCAGTGACAGACCACCATGGGGTGGGGCCTCATCCCATCTCTCAAATGAGGAAACTGAAGCACAGAGCTTTGGGTGGCTTAGCCCTGCCCCGTTGGCCCAAGGCCCAGCAGGTGTCATCACGATATGGTAGCTTGGATCACATGCTCTCTGCCCTCCAGGCCTGCTGCACCCTCTGACCCTCCCCGCCTGTCTGGTGGCTGCATCCATACGGGGCAAAAGGGCCAGAGGCTGCTCTGAATCCAAGGCTGCCCCCTCACCCCCAGTGTCAGTGAGTCTGAAGCGGCCCTTTTCTGGACTTTCTCACTAGGACCCTGAAGGCACAGTGGCAGGAGGTGTGTCCCCCAGGAGGCTCAGCGGAGCCCACGGACAAGGGCAGACCCCCTGAGCACCTCGGCCCAGGCCCTGGGGCAGACCCGGATGCTCCCACTCAGGCTCCCAGGGACAGCGAGGCTGAGACGGGACCAGTTGGAGTTGGGCCCCGTGAAGGCCCATGCGCCATCTGTGAGTGAGCTCGCGGACTGTGAGGAGCTGGACCGCCTCAGCAGCAGGTAGGGCCCAGCCCACAGGCCGCGGCGGCAGAAGCAGCCCCTCCTCCTGCTGCCGGTGCCCTTATCTTGGGGACAGATTCCTCAGGGCAGGTTGATCATCTGAGAGCTTCCCCTGGGACAGGAGAGGGGAACAGCTCGTCTCTGACCCATGGGGACCATGCCAGGGAACCAGGAATCTACCCTCCAGGCTTTGTGTCCTGGCCTTCAGTCCCTGTCTAGCCATCAGGCTGCTAACTGCCAGCCCACATTGATATCTCGGGGTGATGCTGCCAACCTGCAGAGGGACCATGCAGGAGCCTGGTGTAGCTGCTCTGTCGGCCTGCCTTCTCGACCAAGGCCATGTGGTGGTCCCTGATGAAGATGGGGGCAGGGGCCAAGGTAAGGCGCAGGGCGCCCAGCCTCCCACAGGAGTCGTCAGCCCCCTGCCCTGCCTAAAGGGGCAGAGCTGGAGCCCTGGGGTCACAGTTCCACAGCCCTTCACCTGGACACTGTACCCGGGGACCTTCTGACCCTGTCTCCAAACCAGAGAGCCTTGTGCCAGAGGCCAGGGTGGCCCAGGGTCCCCGCGAAGGTGGTGGTGCAGGCCGGGCCAAGACCAAGCCAGGTTAGCAGAGGCAGGTCTGGAGGAGAAGCAGGGGAGGAAGGGGGTGGGACAGACTGGCCTGGGAGGGTCAGGTAAGTTAGGGGGCACTCGTTAGAGGCTGGGGGACAGCAGGGGCCTAACTACTGGCTAGAGCAAGTGAGCTAAAGGGGCCCCAGTAATTTGAGTGCAAGGGGATGGAGGCTTCCTTGGGGGTGAGAGGCCAAGGCAGCATGGGAGGCTCTGAGCTGGACCAGACTGCCTGCCGAGGCTTGGGTGTGTGACCATGACACCACCACCACCCACCACCCCCGTGACAGACACCGTGCATGCTCAGTGAGTGGAGGGCCGATGGGAGGTCAGCAGGCCTGCTGGGCCCAGGGCTGAGCCCCCCTAGTGGTCCGTCAGGAGAGGCAGCTTGATGGTCTAGCATCTTGTCACATGCGTTCACCTGGCTAGGTCCCCCATGCAGACCTGTTTGGGAGCTGGGCTGTCTGTGAAAACTCCCAAAGCTGGGGGATTGGGAGGAAGTCAAGGCTCCTCCTGGGCTCCCACCCCAACTCAGCACACCCAGGGCACTGTGCGTTTGGGGTGGAGAAGCAGCGCAAGTAGGGTTGAGGACCTAGCAGCTATTTGTCATTGCCATGTGTGGGGCCTGGGCAAATAGCCTGCAGTCTGCGAGGCTGCCCGAGCCACCCAACAAGGAAGAAGCCTTGACTGGGAGGATGTTGTCCCTCCTCTTCAGCCCCTACAAGCCCCTGAACTTAGAGTTTCCCAGGTTCTGGGGCAGCTTGGGTAAAGTGCCTACTGCCTGGTACCCAGCAGACTCACCTAAGACTGGTTACCGAGATTCCGCAAAACCCAAGGTCCCTGCTCTCTCCATAGGGACAGGCGAGGGCAGTCATGATCCCAGAGAGGGTTCTGGTTTACTGGGCTCGTGGTGGCCTCCCCATGGCTGAGGACACAACTGTGTGTGGGCTGTGTGCTTTTCCTGTAGGGGGCAGAGGGACAGCCCCATTCCCCACCCCCAGTGAGAGCCCTCAGAGCCTGAAATGAGCTCGAGACTGACCACCTGGACGTGAAGAGTTGCTGCTTTGCTTTTTTTTAAATTGAGCTGAAGTTCACATAACATAAAAATCACCCATTGCAAAATTATTTTTAGTGCATTCACAATGTTGTGCAAATAGAATGTCTAATTCCAGAACATTTCATCACCCAAAAAAGAAGCCCTCGTGCCCATGTCTCCGGGCCCCTCATGAGCTCTCAGTCTCTGGACTGTGTGTGACTGGGTCACAGTGGCCTTGTGTGTCTTGTTTCTCTCACTCGGTGTCCTGTCCCCACAGCATGCCTAGCAGAGCTGCACTTCTTTTGACAATGCAATGATAGCCTGCCACATGCATGACTCGATGGCATGGTGATGGACATGCATTCTAGTGGTTCTCACTTTCTGGTTATTGTGAATCATGTTGCAAGGAACACTGGTGCACCACTTTTTCTGTGAATTTTTGTTTTCAGTTCTCTTGGGAGTGGAATTGCTGGGCCACATGATAACTCATATGATTGTACTCCCAGAAGCTGGACGATGTGAAGAAGAACATGGCATCGGGTTGCAGGAAGGCTAGACGCTAACTCAACCCTGCTTGCTGAAAGCGAGGAGGACTTGAAGCCCTCCCTGGTGAGGAGCCAAGACCACAGCCTGCAGAATGGACGGCACCTCAGTGGACAGAAACCCCGACCCTCACAACTGAGCCAGTAGTGGAAACATGGTACGTGGAAAAGATGGACGTTGTCAAGGACTTCATTTTACTTGGATCCCCAGTCAACACTCATGGAAGAAGCAGCCAGGTAGTGAAACAACATACTGCATTGGGCAAACCTGCACAAGACCTCCTGAAAGTAAGTGTCGGGGAGAAAAGAAGTCACTTTGACGACTGAGGTGCACCTGCCTCAAACCACGGTCTTTGCATTCACCCCGTGTGCATGTGAACGTCGGACGGTGAATAAAGAAGACCGAAGGTCCGGTGATCCATTTGAGTCACAGTGTTGATGAGAATATTGAAAATGCTGTGACCCACCAGAAGAACCAACCAGTCTGCCTTGGAAGAAGTACAGCTGGAATGTTCCACAGAAGAAGGATGGCAAGACTGTCTCACGGACACGCTATCAGGGGAGAGCAAAGCCTGGAAAAGGGCATCCTGCTTGGTCCAGTGGAGGGTCAGCCAGAAAGAAGGCCACGCTGGACAAGCTGGAGTCACAGGGGCTGCAGCAGAGGAC